GGAGAGGACGGAAGTGTATGGATGTGAAGGGAGAGAGAGTAAGGGAGGGGGGCACGACAGGGTTAGTAATGGATTGCAAATAGAAACAGGGAATGAGGAAGGAGGAGAGGGGAATTTTTTATGTGTAGTAGTGATGTCTATAGAAACGAAATGCAATAACCGAATCGGACTACTCACCGCTCGGATGCCAGCAGGAGCATCGTGACCTAGGAAGGGCACGGCTTTGAACAATCTCCATAGCTCTGTCCGTCGCATGTCGCTCGCCTGACTCGCTTCACCCGACAGGGAGCAGCACTCGCATGTGCAGGTGAAGCCCATGTTGCGCTGCAGGTAATCCCTGCGCTCACTCCTGACCGCAAAGAGGGGTTGGCCGTAGCAGATGGTGATCTCATCACCGGGTTGAATAGGTTGAATGGCGTGGACGGTCATAAAGTGTCGTTTTTCGTCCCATGTGATGGAGGCGGTTGGCCGGCACGAGTTGTTAAACTTGGCGAGCTGGAGGAACACGCCGTACTCGAGAATATTGTCATCCGACGTGGTGCCGCCTCCGGATAGCAGGGCAGCTGCAGGAGAGGACAGGGCACCAGCCGCTGCGCCGCCGCCGCCCCCTCCACCACTATGACTATTGCTACTCGAGCTACTGCCGAACAGGATGGGCGCCACTGGGGCGAGAGGGAGACAGTTGGAGTTGAAGATGCCGAGGATGGGGTCAATGTGGTCGCCGAATGCGTTGTGGAGGTTGAGATAGGCCTGGGTGAGGGTCGTCGAGTGCCGGCAGAGATTGGCGAGGATGGACTGGGTCGAGCGGGTGTCGTCCTCGATGATGAGGGGCTGCTCGACGTGCACGAGTTCCCCTACACGGATGGGGCGAATAGCGACGGCGCCATAGGCGTGTCTGCGGCCACCTACGATCTTGAAGGATGGCGGGCCTGGAGGAGGCGGCAGGTCAGAAAGACTTGTATCAGTATGAACTAGAGTATGGCGTGTACTCACCAGAGAAGAGAGCCAGCGAGGAAGGAGAGGGCGAGGCAGCAGAGGCAGGGGGGATAATTGGGTGGGATTGCATGATCTGCGTGGTCGGCTTGTTGCGTCTGGGGCTAGGATAGGTCGATGGGTACGCAACTTGCATGACGAGAGAGGGGAGAAAAGCAGGAATACGGAAGAGCTCCTTTTGTAGTACGGATGCTAGTTGTATAGCGAGTTTGTTGTATGGCAATAGAGCGAGCGAGGGCCGTACCAAGGACCGCACTCTTGTGAGCACCGCGGAGTGGATGGGTACCAAAAAAGTGAGCAGATGAATGCAAAAGAGTGTTAAACGCGTCTTATATGATAATAAAACTCCGCGCCATTTAGAGCCAGCCCATTCTTTTTGGTCTTGTCACGGACCTAGTGATATCCCGGTCCTGTCCTGAAAAGGTTGAGAACCCACTACGGTGAAGCGTCCACTCGACTCCCGAACAACACAGACAAATTAAACCTCGAACGGGTATATTCGAGCCGATACACGAGTCGAGCTTAATTCTGAACTATCCATTTCGTGGACAGTGAGCGACGACGCCCTTGGCTCGATTCAAAAAAGGTTTCAGTAACGCCACAATCTGACACAGAACGCAAATAGAAAACGAAACAGGCGTCTGAAAAGCACCAAGGAGCCCGGTCAGACGACCTGTCCACGCTCCTGAGTGCAAAAAAAACCCACCATTGGTAAACGCTCCCTCTCTCGCTCTGGGAGCGACGGGCGTTTCGCACCC